CCTATAGCAGCAGAACTATAGAGATAGATCAGGATAAACTAAGTATTTTTGATGAGCTATAAGAAAAGTAGAGCAAGGAGAAAAGTGTATGAAAGATAATGTGACGGTTCAACTACATTTGAAGTCTAATACTCTAGAAAATACAAACTTTTACCTGTTTAAACCAAAAAGTCAAGAAGCATTTCTTTATCTTTTTAACCGTAGCATTAAAAGAGAAACTTCCCTGAATCAGTGCATCTAATAAACCTGCATCTCCTCTCCTCTCCATAGAACCAGCAAACATCGAGGGGAACGCAGAGTCTGCACGAGTGAGTGGACTTATTCCCTGGATGGATTATGAATTCCAGGTGATTGCCAGCAACATTCTGGGCAGCGGAGAGCCTAGCATGCCGTCCCACGTCATCCGCACAAAGCAAGCAGGTAACATTCCCCCCAACATACCCGAGTCTCTCTGAACTCCTTCAGTTCCTCCACCCTCCTGTTTGTAAAGCTGTGCAGAAGGAACGATTCATTCGTCTTAAGTTTTTGCATGTTGTTCTTTCTGGATCAGGCAGTGCGCACTCGTTCCTCGTCAGGTTTCAACATTTTTTGAAAATGCATGACTAGACAATATCAGATGCAGAGAGAGCATCGCTGCTATGCTGCATTTAGCCCAGGCAAAGCATCTAAATTACATGCAAAGTCTATGGGGGACAGTAAATGGAACTTTTCCCAATGGACGCCGGAGCTTCAACCAAGAGTCCAGGTGTGCAGAGTCCGATTGGTTTTTGCACATACAGTGTGAGCATCCCTGTCTTTGCCTAGGGCCCCACATTTCCTAAATCTGCCCCTGATTTAGATCCTGACTGCTCTGCTTCTCTAAGGGATTTAATCGGTCTCCAGTTGAGGAGTTTTTTTCTTATATTATTTTAGCTTGTCCTTTTAGAGGATTCACAGCATGTGTTTTTTGGACCACAGCACCAACAGTGGCCCCTAGTGGACTTGGTGGAGGAGGAGGAAACCCCCATGAACTGATAGTTACCTGGACGGTGAGTGGGTCATTACTTTACTTTATGTTTTTCCAATTCAACATTTTGTCTTTTAGTGCGATGCTCTGCAAATGGATGTGACCTTTTTTTTTATAACTTACTGAAAATAATGAAATCTGAATAATTTAAAAAGCGCCGCTGGCAGGGAGTGAGTTGCTGGTTTATCATGTCAGCCCTTCTGTTACGAGTTCATATTGACTTTTAATGGAACCTTCCATTATACCAGGGTTAGGGGGTCAAGCTGGTGCAGATGATCAGTATGATAATCAGTTTGATGCTCAATCAGTTCTTTCATTTTATGAGTTATTTTTTTTTTAAAAATGTTTTAAAGGAGAAGTCCGATCAGCAAGGAATAACCGATGGATCATTATTTATACCTAAACTAATATGTTTGCAGTGATTTAATGACTTTAGCGTTAGGGATGCACAATATAATCGGCCCCCTATCGGTATCGGCCTTAAAACTGAA